CCCAGTCTCGTAACCAAGACCAACACTTTTTCATTGAGAACAATACCTCTTATGATAGTATGAAACTTGTATCCAATGTCATATTGTCACGACTGATGTGTTCTGAATAGATATGGGCCATATAGTTCGAATCCCAGCATAATAAATGACTAGTGTTGAGCATCCAACGATGATCGATCATTTGATACTACTAAATATTCTTAGCATACAGATGTTCGATTACCAATTGCACTTAAAAGTGAATATATAGTTTAGTCTGTATAACTTGCGGTTGAATCCATAAAATGGAGATCTACAACTTTAGATACAAAAATTGTATTAGTTGTTTTGGATCTGCTGTTTCAATCCGAACAAAAGTTTTATTAGCAGGAAGCTTAATTAATTCTCTGCAATACCAACTCTTTTAATCATAGTTCTAAATAGCAGGTGGACCATAGTGAATGGTAACTTTTTGCATGTCATCTTTTCATTTAATTACAAAATCAAAACATATCACAAGATACACTGACAAAGGCTCTATAATTTACAAAAAAAAGTATATTTTATGTATGTGCATCTTTTATTTCAAAAAAAAAATGAAATTCTGTTCGATCAATTTTCGACACTGCGCACCGGATCATTCTTTAGTACACAATGAATTAATTTTGTTATTTCAACGATTAAACAATCATACTTTTCAACTTTATCCTATTGTGTACTATTGGGAATGGTGTTCCATATATAATAATCCAAAACTTTGAGATTAGAATTATTTATTAATCATCTGTGCTTGTCTATGAAATACTCTGCGTATCATATTAACGTTTCCTTTTGTATTATTAATAGATGAAATTATCGACCGGCAACTTGTTCAAAGCATCGAAAATTTGTGTAATAGAATTTTGTTGTTTTCATAGAACAAAAGTACATATATATAAAATAAGCTTTTCTTTGTAAATTTTAGAAATTTTTGCAATACATCTTATGATATATTTTGTTTTGTAATGAAATGAAAAGATGACACGCAAAAATTGACTAATCATTATGACTTACCCATCATTAATTTTATTCTTTTTCTAGACAAATGATAACAATGATGATCAACGATCTTGTTCACCTTCACCATCATCTCTAATAAATTCTAAACGTATTTCTTCAACATTTAAACCGTCTATAATTTCATCACCAAATGTACTTTATGATCGAACTAATCAAATAATTATTAACAATGATAATCGATTATTATCAAAAGGTATTAAAAGAAAGTTAAATATAAATCGTTATATGACACTTGATTTTGAAAATGACACAGATGATTTTTTCTAGTCCTAGATTTCTTTATAGAATTTTATCCAAGTATTTTTGTATTTATTTATTTTATCATAACATTCTTTTGAACTTATTGTAATTAAATATAAATAGATTAAAAAAAAGGTAATAATAGAAAACATATGTGAATACATGTTTTTTTCAGAGATGTGCATTATATCGAAAAAAAAA